AGGCAAAATTTCATCTCCCTGAGCCTCAGTTTCCTCATTTGTCAAATGAGGTAATTAACAGCATTGACCTCATGGGATTATTTTCAGAATTAAAAGATAACGTAAAGTGCTTAGACAAATACCTGGTGCAAGGTAAGCCCTTGACAAATCTTGGCTATAATAATAATAATTATTATTAATTCTTCCTGCTGTATTTATCTAGAAACAAGGATTTGAACAACTTAAATTCATGGCAAAAACTGTATCGATATATTTAATATTTTCATTTTTCCAGCTACTAGACAAACAGACAAGTTCAACAGAAACATCCCTGGAAAGTTACCCAACTTCTTTCTGCTCAGAGAATTTGGTGTATATGATGTTTGCAGGTTTCAGGAATAAGCTGTAGGCATTTCATGACACATGCTTTGCCTTTTTATGGGGCTTTCATCCTGAGATCGTAAACTGCAGAGCCCACAGTGAACACTGAAGAGTTTCAACCAAGCGTTAGAACCCCGAAGAACCAGACACGCCCTGGACATCCTCCTCCTGTCCTCTGGGTTGAACAGCTCATGCCGGAACTGGGAAGACACTACGGATATCCGCTTAGGCTTCTCCTGATATTTGCCGTCTAGAGAGGCCCTTCTCATACAGACTCGTTCTGTTTTGGTGTAAGTGTTATTATGAGGCTTTTCTAGGACTAATAACATGTAGTAATATATTAATAGGTTAGGGAATGTTTTCTTTTTAAGACAACTTTATAATTTCATAGATTTTTTGTTAGGAAAAAAGGCATAATCAAATTTAGATATAATTCCCACTCAGATTAATCTTTTAAAATAAATAGACGTCAGACAACTAACAGTTAAATGAAGGTGTCAATTGTAGTTGACAAACCACAGACATTAAGAAATTGCACTGTCTCAATTACAGCTAATTTTAAATAATTCTCCTCTTTCTATCTTTAAGATCTTGAGGAATGTCCTATTTAGAAGAGTGTTTCTTATATGAAACCCCTCAGCAAGGTCGACAGATGCAGTGGTCAAATGGTATGAAATTTTGAAATTATGTGATATAAAAATATGAATAAAATTTGCAATAATGTGAGTTTCCCCAAATTAAGAATTTCATCAAATTATCACACTCTCAAATTTCAAACTGCTTTTTTATGATTGCCACATGGCGGCACCACTTCAGCTGGTAAACAGGGGCTCGCACCATTCACTGTCTGCAGTGTCGGCACTGTGGGGGGCCTTCAGGAGCACACGCCTGAGACAGCGGCTCAGTCTTGTTGTCACTGCCAGAATGGCAGTGGGGTTTTCTTCCCCCCATGTTCTCGCCAGTATAGTGTATTTTTATAAAGTCTCTTTACCCACTAAGCTTTTAGTTTTTAATTGAATTTTCTTGCTGCTTATTGGAGAAGATTAATTAAAACCCCTTGAGAACATAAAGAGACTGGTGGGTTAGCTTTGGAGTTTTTTTCATAGACTTTGAGAACTGGATGAGACCTCTGAGGTTACCTAGTCTAAGCCCCGTATATTAACACACCAAGAAACCGAGCCCGTTAAGAACTAGGTTAGGATAACTTTGGAAGGTGAGAGCAGACTGGGATCTGGTTCCTGCTCATGAGACAGGCTGTTTCTGGATATGAAGGGCTCATCATCCCTGAAAGGCTGAGTATATAAGGACACCTAAGGCGTGCCTCTACCTACAGACCAGTGTGAAGAAGAAAAATCAACTCAAGTGTAAACAATCAAAGTGTGAAGACTCAGAAGCCAGTACATTCACTGATGATGGCTCATTTTGATTATTTACAGGACCAAGGTGTAGAGTGAATTAAAAATAACTTCTGTTTGGCCTCATGTATATTAAACATTCAGACTGCTTTCACTTTTACCAGTCCCTAAATCACATATGGCCACAAAAACGTCTTTAAAGACTTGTATTAGCTAAAGAAAATAATCATGAAATTCTCCCAACAGTAAATGTGTTTCTGAGAGAAACATCAGGCACCCTGGAAAGTCTTATTCCCCTGCATGGGCCTGGCAATGCCAGAGTCAAAACCATCTCTAATTCAGTGATCTACAATATCATGGCAGCTTCTGTATAGGAATGTTAGTGATTCATCTCTTTAATATTTTTGTTAGGTACACAATCTGAAATTTCGCCTTTTTTACATTTGAGGGTAGAATGGAGATTTTCTAGAGAAGTAATATTAAAAAATTATTTTACCAAAGTGCTTGTTTCTCACGGGAAGTGTACTATATACTTTCAGAAATTAAAAAATGCAAAATGCACTGAGACCCTTTTGTAACAGCGATATGAGAGGAAAACATATTTACTCACTTGACCTTGCTATTCTGTTTATTGGATAAGATTACAATATAGGAGAATTAATGTTTTAATAAGCTTGTGTCCTCTTCACTTGGGTCTGAAAAAAAAATTCATCCACTAATTTAATCACAGTCAGTAAAGACTTTACTAATTGGTAAATATATTCCTTAATTCCAAAATATTTGAGTTGCCTTGTAGTAATTTTTAGAAGTAAATAAACACATTGATAAAATACAAAGAACAGAAATAGCTTTCTCTGAATCTTTTCTTGACTTATCATGCTAGAGAGAGGTCTTAAAGATGCCTTAGCAGGTAGCCTCTCAGTTCAGGTGTGAGTCTCAGACTCCTGGGGGTGATTCCAGGTCCCTCTGATCCTGCAGATGAGTTGAATCATGGACTTTAGATCAATAATCCTGAATTGCCAGATTAGTACTCTGAGGTCAGAGACATCTGGTGACCTGCTAAGAGTCACATAGCTCTTTTTGCCTGCCTGTACCGTATTTCCTGATTCTGTGAAAACTAAGGAACCCCAACTCCTCAACTCTTAAAATTCATACAGTCAGATACATATGGATGGCAAGAGCTTAGAGATTTAAAAATGGAGCAGAAAAAAGTAACTTGAACAGAATGTGGCATTTCCCTTGGTCTGTTGCTAACGGCCCACATAAAAACACCCCACCCTGCCAGTTCCTTTCATCATCATTTAAAAGCGATTCCAATGGACATTAGAATGTATGGCATTGGGACTGTGTCCCATCTGGGGACAAATGTGAAAGAGCTCCAGCAGCAGGGCTGTGTTCTCAGTGGCTGTCAGGCCAAAGGTGATGTGTATTTGGTCTCTTCTCGTTGGTCATGCTTTTAAAGCCAAACACAATCTTTTCATTGTAGCTTTTCAGGACTCCAAAGCCAGTAGCCTTAAACATTCCTGTTTTTAAGCAAAACAACTATGTTCATGATTTTTCAAATGTTTTCAGGATTTGAAGATGTGAAAGAAACATGTAACAAGAAATGACTTCGTTCTCTTTTTATTCTGCACTTTACTCTTTTATTGACTCTGAAGATCATCACACTGTTTTATTAAAAACCAGGGACTCTTGCCTCTTAGCTGTCACCTTTGGGGGGGCTGTTTTCTGAATATCGTTCTAATTAGAGTTCTTCACACAAATTTGACAGGTTGGATATCCCATATATTCATGCACACTGTGCACTAGAATTTAAAACTTTTGTAAACTTGAACAAGGGTCCACAAACAGCCAATGGTCTAGGAACCTGTCTTGATGCTCCTGCTGTCAGCTAACACTTCCTACGGATAACTGTTCTAAAAAAGTTTAAACAATTTTCATGATAACACTGGAAACTGCAAAAAAGTAATTGTGGCTATGTGAAGTGAGAAACTGACCAATCATGGACCACAGCTGCCCACTGTTCTGGTAAGTCTAATGGGCTCACAGCCCAGCCTTTCTCAGTCTCAAGTTCTTCATTCTGAATGTTACAGTGTAGGCATTATATTTTAATCATTTCCCCAATTTAAAAATAGAAATTATTCCATGGGAAATACATCTCTTTTTCTTCAGCCTTTACTTCCGGAGGATTCTAACGCTTCCTTGCTAGCCCTTATTTTAGCGCGGCGCTCTTGGACACATCGCGCATTATAACGTATGTAGTCAGGCTCTGGAGAATTTATTTCAATTTACATACAATCCTCCAAATCCCCTGGCGAGTTTAACATGAAATCTGACACAGCCGCGTCTCCCCAGCGGGATCCTCCTGCGCTCTGGGCGGTATCGCCAAAGGTTCCAAGGGTCCCTCTGGGTTGGCGCGGTGGGCTACGGAGTCGGGAAGAGGGGTGACTGCGGGCTCGCAGCCCTGAAGATTTACACTGTGCTTCTCGCAGGGGGCTCGGCAACCCCCTCGGTGGCTGTGGGTGTCTTGTGTGACAGAGCGGAGAAAAGCTCTCTCATCTCCTGGCGCCTGCCTCTGCCGCTCAACCGCTCCCCGCCCTCCCGGCGGCCCTGCCTCCTCGCCTCTCTCGCTCTCTCCTTTGCCTTTCTCGGGTAGTTTCAGGCCCTGAATGCAGCCAGGGTAGCCTTGGGAATCCAGACCTGGAGTCTGTGTATACACACACACGCGCGCGCGCACACACACACATGCACACGCACTCGCACACACGCACTCCGGCTCTCCCCACGGGGCTACGGAGCAAACCCGGAGCTTCATCTACCTGAAGGGGATGGCCCGGCTGGACACTTCTTGCTCGCTTGTCATCTCCGGAGGTCAGAGCAACGTCGGAACGAGAGAAGCCCGCTGTCGGGTCTGCAAGCCCACGCCGTTTGCCGCCACCGCTGCTTAAAGTGTCCGAGGTGGAGGAGAAGGCGTCTCCAGGACAGATTCCAGGCGCGGCTCTGCGGCCCTGGGACTTCACCCGGCTGGTGCACCCGGTCTCTTCCTCCTTGGCCATCGTCTTGTCTCCGGCTGCGGGTGCATGGCTTCGGCGCCTCCGCTGCTGCCGCCGCCACCTCTTCTGCGAGCACATCCCACCCAGAGGACAGAACGCCGCCGCTGGAGTGGGGAGAGAAAGCGGAAGCCCTAACTTCCCTCCCCACGGCTCCTTGTCCTTTCCAGCCCAGGATCTGCTGGAAGGCTCCCACGGAAAGCCAGGCGACAGCTCTGCACAGGGGAGGGTGAGCCGCAACTCGCAGGCGCGGAGGGGTGGGGGCAGTATGTGTCCGTGCGCCCGGCGCCCGCCGGAGAAGTAGCGCGCCGGGGCGAGCCAGACGCTTTCCAAGTTGGGCGCGTCCCAGAGCTCAACGCCCCGCGCCCTGGCCGCTGGTGTCCAGAGAGAGGCGGGCTAATGGCGGGCGAGGCTGCTGTCGCCTGCGGCCAGAGACCGTCTTAAAAGAACCCGGGCCGGCATCCCCAGGGTCCCAGCTTGCGTCGTGCCCTCCGCCCGCGTGCGCTGTCTGATGCCTGCGCTGGCGGTGGCCCGGGTGGCCCGCCCGCGGGGGGTGCCGGAGGGGGCGGGGGAGGAGGAGGCGGCACTGTGATGGCCCTGGACGGCGAGCGGGGGGAGCAAGAGGAGGAGAAGAAAAAGAAGAAGAAGAAAAAGAAGAGGAAGAAGAAGAAGGAGGAGGAGGAGGGGGCTGAGAAGAGCAGCTCACCCTTCGCGGCCACGATGGGAGAGAACGACGCCGCGCTCCGAGCGGGCGGCAGGGGGCTCTCAGACCCGTGGGCGGACTCCGTGGGGGTGCGACCCTGCACCACCGAGCGCCACATCACGGTGCACAAGCGGCTCGTGCTGGCCTTCGCCGTGTCCATCGTGGCGCTGCTTGCGGTCACCATGCTCGCGGTTCTGCTCAGCCTGCGCTTCGACGAGTGTGGGGCGAGAGCAGCGCCCGGCGCCGACGGCGGTCCCGCCGGCTTCCCAGCGCGAGGCGGCAACGAGAGCCTTCCGGGGTCGGCCCGGCGCCACCCCCACGCCGGCGGGGACCCCGGGCAGCCCGAGGCGGGGGAGGCCGCCCCTGGAACCCCGTCCGCTCAGCCACCGTCGGAGGAGGAGCGCGAGCAATGGCAGCCGTGGACACAGCTGCGCCTGTCGGGCTACCTCAAGCCTCTGCACTACAATCTGATGCTCACTGCCTTCATGGAGAACTTCACTTTCTCCGGGGAGGTCAACGTGGAGATCGCGTGCCGGAATGCCACCCGCTACGTCGTGCTGCACGCCTCCCGGGTGGCGGTGGAGAAGGTGCAGGTGGCGGAGGACCGGGTGGCTGGGGCTGTCCCTGTGGCCGGCTTTTTCCTCTACCCGCAAACCCAGGTCTTAGTGGTGGTGCTGAACAGGACCCTGGACGCGCAGAGGAATTACAACCTGAAGATCATCTACAATGCCCTGATCGAGAACGAGCTCTTGGGCTTCTTCCGCAGCTCCTACGTGCTCCACGGGGAGAGAAGGTAGGAGGGAGGCGGTCCCGGCACGGCCCCACCCCGCCAGGCTGCTCTAACCCTGAGCGCCGGCGGCCCCGGGGACCCGCTGGCTTCTGATACCGGGAAGTGAGGGGTGGGGGAAGGAGGCGAAGGTGGGGTGAGACTATCACCCAGGACCCCCGGGGTCTCCAGGATGCTTGGGTTCTCACTGCTGCCAACTCCAGGAACTCACCAGTGCCAAACGACGAATGCCACCCCCTCCTCTAGTCTGGAAGCCCCCCTCCTCTGGTCAAATTTCCTTAGCCAGCCGGGGCGCACAGCTCTTTTTACTTTTTAAAGGGTAGTGTGTAATCTGAGCAATGCCAGGGTGACATCAAAAGCCTGCCAAATTACCGTCGAGGGAAAATAAGTGAGCGCCAGAGGCCAGGGCAGCGGCGCGTCCCGGTGAGATGTCCGCGCAGGGTAGGGCCGGGGAACGTTCCCGCCTCCCCTCCTCGCGCCCTCCTCTCCGGGCATCCTGCAGGCACGCAGCACAGGAAGGACTCGGGTTGCATAAAGTTTTCTTGCCAAAACTGAAAGTCGAGATTCGGGGCTGTAAGAGCCAGTCCGGTGACAGACTAAGGGAATGGGAGCGGGGGTGGCGGCTGCCGTGGCCGAAGCCAGGGAGAAACGCCGGCTCTCTGCTCACGCGGCGACTCCAGTTGCTTGTTCTTGAGTTCCTGCTTCCGGAGATGGCTCCCGCGCTGAAAGGAGGAAAGCTGGCGGCCAGTCTTAAATACCTTGTCAGTGAGCGCCTTTGATGCTTTTCAGATTTGGATAGTGTTCGATTTTTATTTTTTCGAGAGGCCGTGGGGCTTTTCACCACTTGTTTGGAGCTCAGACTCCGTAGTCCAACAGAACTGGGTTCGAATCCCAGCTACAACTCTGGCTCTGGTGAACCTTGAGGAAACTGGTTAATCCAAGTCACCAATTCCTGCCAATGACTACCTCCAGGGTTTATTGAGCAGCATAGATTAACCCGATCTCACAGGAGCCTTGTGGTGTAGGTGCTATCAGCACTCCCTGTTCAACAGCCGGGTCTCGGAGGCAGCTGAAGTCCAGTGACTTGTCTCAGAGTGAGCCCAGAAAGCAGGGATCAGACCTGGGTGCTTCGGCTCCAGAGCCTGGCCTTGGACATGATAATAATAATCCTACCCTCCTAGAATCGTCGTGGGGGTCCCTGAGTTAATGCATTGACAAGCAGTTACCCCTAAACCTGGCATACAGACGGTCCACCATAAACTTTAGCTGTTGGGAGTTCCCAGAGATAGTAAGCCCTCAAGCATATTGGTGAATGAATAAAGAAGTGATTCTTGCTTTTGGCCCTAACTTCGGTTAATTAAGTGACTGTAGGGCCAGCGAACAACTAAAATGAACGTGAAAATGAAATCGACAACCTTTGAAGCAGAGCAGGTCAGAGGTGAGTGATGATGCCACTGGCAGAGCCTGCCCTGTTCTGAGTGGTTCTCACAACAGCAGAAAACGTGGGCTCAGGGGGCACAGCTGCCTGAGGTCAGCAGGCTGGTCCGGGGAGAGCTGCCACTCCAGCTTTGGTTTTCTGAGCCCTGGACCAGGGCCTGTGGTGTCTAGAAACTCTCAGAAGAAGTTGTTATTGTATAAGAGGCTGGGGAAATTTCAGTGTGTTATGGGGGAACACAAACATTTCATTATTTATAGAGTGCCATGAAGTGACCTCATGTAAATAAGTTGCCCAGTGCTTTAGTATTTGTCTGATACTTAAAGCCTCTGGTAAGTAAATGTATAAATTACTCACTTTCAAACTCCTAACATCAGATGTGGATAATTTAAAACCCCCTTCCATCACTTCTTCCAATGTGTTCTAAAGTGTACAGATTAAAAGTATGTTTTTAAGCCCACGAGCATTTCTATGGGGGGAAAGACGTAGAAAGCAAATTTGAATGTTAGGTTTAGAAACAAGCTTGTAATGTCAAAATGTCAGTAGTGAGAGTTGCATATAATTACTGATAAATCCTGTGGTGGTGAAATAAATACTTCCAACAAATCCTGGTTTTTGAAGCATGCCAAAATATATTTGGTGGAACTGAGCTTGTTTTGGTCAGTGCTTTCAAATTAACAGGAATCTTAAACAGACCAGATGTTTCTGCTTGACCCATAACTGATTTCTTGCACCCCTAGTGCATGTTTGTATTCAAACTCTCTCCTTCAGTTTATCCCAAAGATGTAAATAACTCGGTTGAAAGTTTAACCTAGTGCACATGTGGCTAAACTCTGCATCCCAGTAGAAATGCCAGATTGGGTGTTTCCAAATAGTATCTTAGGGAAAGTCCTTGTTCCACTTTTTTTTCCTCCTTCAATACCAGAGTGAATATGATAATTTCTTGGATGTTTCTACTAGAGTTGATAAGGCAGAGGAAATCTAATAAACCATTTCACAATTATGTCAACATTACATACATTAAACTATTATTGTTTTGGTTGTTGTTGTTACTATGCCTACTTGGAGAATTTTAAACACACTGATATCAAGAACTCAGTTAGGGTTGGACTTTTATAGGTGATGATTTTGTTGCCCAGATAAAATGTAAGTTGACATTTTAAAACATGCTTTCAAAAGGACACAGATGCAAACGCTAGGTTTTCATTTGATTTATGATTAAATATCTTGGTCTTTAGTTAGTCATAATTTTTGCCAACTTAATTATCAGATAAATTCTGTAATGAAAATAAATATTTAATTTGCCAAGGGGGAGTCACATTGAGCAACTTGAAATATTTAAAAGAGCAATACTACAATTTAGTTCACCTTACTTAGCCTATGTGGAAACAACTCATTAATACTCAGTCCATCTGGTTCTTTGCCTCGCTCCTCAGAGGTCTGGGAGAGAGAACTTGGGTGAGGGCAGGAAGATTCGGCTTCACTTGTACTGTATACCTTTGATTCCGGGACGGTTTCACAGCCCCCTGGGTGTTGGAGGGGGCTGGTTTTGTCCTACAGGGAAGACTTACCTCTTGTGGTTCCCATACCGCAGCAGGGAAAGGTTAGAAGACAAGCTCCCCATTGAAGCGTGAGGTTCCTATACTTGAGGCAAATCCTCTACTCTTGGTTGATCACTTCGCTGATGGGAAAATTCAACAACCACTTGTTGAATGTTGAAAATAAATAGATTCTTTTAAATGTGAAATATGTACACACAGTGGTAAATTATCTCCATTAGGCAGAGTCCATATTCACTTTTTCCTCAAATACGTGTGTAGCAAGCAGATAAAAAAGGGTGCATATTTATGCCGTACTATCCTACAGTAGAATATGCTTGCTTAGAACTTGGTAAAATGTTCATTTACCAAAAGTAATTGCTGCTTTGTGGTAACCAGATGGTGAGCATACCCATGTCAAAGTAGGGTACCTTAATTTAGGTTCAGATGGTCAGACTGAAATTTACCCAAAGTAAATGAACATTTTATTCACTTTCAAAAGGGAGACTTTTTCTTTGACAAACTACAATTGGGTCTATAACATGCCACAGTGACAGAAGACAGAATGAAAAGAGGAGGTCTTTTTCTATCAAGGATTATGTAGGAGAAACCATGATCTCTGAGTGAAATGGCAAAGTAACATTGCGGTTCTCAAAAAGAGTCTCAAAAAAACTCTTTTGCAAAAATCTTGTGTTGAGCATAGAGGGTTTTATGGGTGGGCATTTAATCTTTAGTGGCGTTAGTGTACCTGGTCTGATGCCTTGTACTTTTTCTGGAATGAATTAATAATCATAATATTTAATAAAAACAAGAAAACCACCACATTGTTTTTCTGTTGGAAGCAGCCTCATTTCTCCCATTCACGCTGGGGAGGAGATATCTTTACGTGAACAAGTTGGGGTAGATGGCCTTTTGTCCATGAATGGAAGGCTGTGAACTAAAAATTTGTGAGCACTGTTTGTTTCTGTGAAAACTGTTTGTATGAGTCCTTAATGGACTTAGCTCACTGTTTTCCTGCCCAGCACACAGACCAAATGGCCAAACGGAGTCCAGTGCTGCATTTTGGTCATAATTCAGAATGCCACCCCTAACCAAATCTAGAAAATATTTTTTAAAAAAGCTTTGACCGTTTAATAATGACCCATTCAGGGAGGAAAACCCATACAGTCAGCGTTTGTCTGGCCGTGATTTCCGTGGTGCCCTCTGATTTGATCACTGTGGATAGTAATGAAGTATACACTTCCTTTTAAAGAGTTAAACTAGTGTGACTGTGTTTTTATTTATTCAAAGTAACTCCAAGCAGCCCCTCAAACAGTCGTTATCTGCTCTGGATCTCTTTCAAACACAGATGGACCTGTGACTGGTTTCCTGGTATTTGTTTGGTTTGCAAAACATGTTTATTTCCTCAAACCAGTTTTTGCCCTATGTATGTGGATGGGCTTCAGACAACAGTTCCGGGCAACAATTTAGGTTTGCTTGAGGGCGGTGACATTTGGTCCGTAGGGCTACAAGAATAGGATTCATTTTTTTAAGTGTGACTTCAAAGAATGACATAAAGAGCAACGAAGAAATAGTTCACTTTTCATACGGAGATGTTTTGCAGTCTGTAAGGAAGGGCATCCCTTGTCACGCCGTGCCATCCTCCTGCCTACCAGCAGTGATAACTCTCATCATTGTTATCATCATCATCATCCTTTTAATTATTCGTGCATCCTTTACATCCTTTCAGATTTGCAGTAGTGGCTGGGTTCCTCCAGAGGTTTTCAAAGTCCCAATCAATCCTGCTTTTTGCCGCCAGAGAGTGGATGGTGTCTCCAACAGAATTTTACTACATAGAATTTGGAAGAATATAAAGATGAAAAATATTCCTCTTCATCTTCAGTTCCTGAAAGAATTCACACAGGCACAGCTGGATAGTGACGATGGGGCTGTGAGGTGGAATAAGAATGGCAGGATTGGGCGGTGCAGAATTGGGGCGAAGGGCCTCGGGCTCACCCCTCCTGCCTCCAGGTGCACCTGCCGGTCTCCGAATA